TGGAATTGGTACAAATTTTTGAATGCACCGTATTGCATCCAAATAATCAACGATTTGATTTTTTTAACAAGCCGTTTATGCCAAAATTGTGTCAACTTTATTGGCTTTATACAGACAGAGAGCGTTCAAAAATTTGTGCCAATATTCTCATATATTATTATCCAATCTCATAGAATCTTATACAGGGTCTCCTATTTTCAAAACCCAAGTATCTGGCAACCCTAGATATAGTATCCATATTTAAAAGTCTTATAATGCCTTAAGATTTTTATATTATAAGTAGTGTAGAAAAGTTCTTGTTGGAATTACCTATATGGCGCCAAGAAAACTAGTAAATCCTTGGACGCTCTTAAGGTTTGTGAAATACAGTACCATAACAGCTCGTCAAAGTTTGCAAGCAAATTTTAAACTCGCAGTGCTTCCTCCAACTAGCAATACATCCGAACACCATTTTGAAAGGGTTTATTTGCAAGTTCAATCTTGGCTTGGCAATAATCTCGATCCAAAACAATGGGGATGGATCATGCAACATAACGTGCTTATACCTCAGGTTATGACTCAACCTATAGCCCTAAATTTTATTTTACAACTTATTTTTTGCAACTGTAAAACCGACTGTCGAAGGTGTTCCAATTTATTGTGTGGCAATTGTAATGGGAATTCATGAGATATTTATACTAAACTTACATAGGTAGACTCGGATTCTGATCCCCATTTGTAAATTAGTGCTAAATCTTTTTGTAGGTTTCGTATGGTAAAATGTTATTCGTCATTATTTCATTATTTTAACTAAAATAATAATTATAATTTCAGATAATGAAACGCTAAATATCACACTAATTGTAGATTTGTATATTAATTAGCTGTATGTTAAAACTACCTATGTTCCACTGTTAATATTTGTTTGATGTAGAAATGTATTTTATAGCTGTGAAAAAATAGAAACAAATATCTTATAGTGTGTATTTTTTTATGTTCTTTAATTTTCATCTCTTGACTTTTTTTGAAAAAATGAGTATTTTTTGAGATATTGTCACTTTTTCTGAAAAAGCCATGAAAAATCAAGATGGCGGCGTTGAATTTTGACTTTTGCAAAACGGATGAATGGGGACTTTTAGGTCATTGCTTTTAGTATGTTAATAAGGACCTAAAACACTAACTAGTGTTTTAGGGTAATAGTTAACTATTGAGATGGGTCCCAGCTTTATAATAATTTGTCTAGGGTCAACCCTTAAGTGTACTGGAGTATTACAAAAGAATGTATTATGTATGAATACAATATACAGTATGATTTTTTAAGTGTGCAACAAATGGGGATTTTTTTTAGTAATAGCACAACCCAAATACAAACAAGGCCAAAAGTTGGTGCATGTCTGATAATCATATTAGGTGCACTTAGAATGGTTGCAAGTCAAACAATATACAGGGTAGCTCAAACAATGTCAAAGCTGTACTGTAAAGTACCCTTATTTTAGAAAATTCAGCAAAATGTTATAGAGAAAAGTTGATTGGAATTAAAAGTTATGCCTTAATACCAAAACATCGAAAAAATCTATAATTTCTATATTTTTTTTATAAAATTAACATAGATTTTTAATTTTTTATGGAATCACAAAATTCATGTTTGTTGCAATGATATTCAACACAACGTTAAACTGTCGCAATTGTTTTTAAAACAAGTTAAAACATTACTAATGATAATATTAATAACCTTGCGTCCTTGTATATTCCGATCTTTAATTGCTTGATCTAGGGTTCCCTCATGTGAGATTTTCATGCCCAAATATTTGTATTCAGTACATTGTTTTATTTTTTGTCCGTTATTCAATTTCAGAGTTCGTTGTTCACCTCCTATAGTCATATATTCTGTTTTCGTTAGATTTTCTTCCAATTCTAATTTCTCGTATTCCTCTATGAATTTTTGTGTCATATATCTAGGTTATCATAGTCCTGTGCAATTAATACTTGACTTGATCATCTGTAAAGCTTAAAGTAGGTATACCTATATATAGATTGTATTCATTGAGCGGTATTCCCATGTTTCTGCATTTGTTTTTCCATTCCTTAAGTGCTTGTTCTAAGTATATTTTTAAAAGTGTTGGTGATATGCAGAATCTCTGTTTAAGTCCTTTAGTTGATAAAGCCTTTACTGATTATGTTTCCCTGTTTAATCTTGTGGTATTTGCATCACTATAGAGCGTTTTTACTGCCTTTATTAGTTCTAAGTTGATATTGGTCTTTTCCAGTGCTTCCCAAAGCTTTTTCAGCGGAACATTATCATATGCTTTCTTTAGATCTACAAAAAGTAGATGGAGTTCTTGATTATACGTTAGTTTCTTTTCCATTATCTGGGTCAAACTGAATAAATGGTCTATATAGTTGATCTTCCTGCTCTAAAACCGGCCTGTTCTTCTGCCTCACTATCTTTGTACTTCTGGCTTTTATAAGTTTTCCTTACACTCTGCTCAGCGTATTTGTCACTACAATTCTTCGGTGGTTCTCGCATTTGTTTCTGTCTCTTTTCTTATATATCGTTGTTAAATAGCTTATTTTCCACTCTTCCGGTACTTCATGTTTATATATGCAGGTTTGAAATAGTTTTGTTAAATGTTTGTAGAGTTTATTGGTCCCACACTTTATCAGTTCTCCATATATTTCCCCTGGGCCTGGGCCTGGTGCCCTATACCATTTTTCAAGAAGCCGCAGTGTTTTTTAACTTCTTCTTGCATAACTCGTATTGGTGATCCTGCAGTTTTATGTTTCGTGTCTGTTCCTTTTCTTTTTTAAACTCTGCCCGCTGTTCTGTCAGTAATTCTTCAAAGTACTCTTCCCATTGCTGGGGTGTTATTGTATTGATAATATCCTTGGTTTGTATGTTTTCCTCATATTTTTTAGTAATCTGCAACTTTCTGTTTCTCTTTTACCCCCCATATAAATACTATTAATATGCGCACACTTTCTTTCCCATGACTCGTTCTTTTTGTGTACCGTAGGATGGTGTGACATTGCAACTTGCGGAGAACTTTACACAGACATGAATATTTTTTTTTTTAAATTAATATTTTTGAAATGTGACAATGTAGCAATTTTTTTGCAACACAAAACGGTCAAAAATTTGCTGAAACATGTCTGCCCCAGCAACTGGTGGTTTAGTGGTTTTCGTTACTTTGTAATGTAAACATATATAAATTGTGCATTTGGACGTTCTCGAACGAAGGACAAAAGCTAAGGGATCCCCAGCTTCCTTATCAAGGTATGTATTTTATTATTGGTATATAGTACTAAGTATTACCCTTTGTGAACACATTTCAAGATATTTCAGAAACTTAATCATAAACATGGTAAAAATATTTCAAATTTCCGAAGGTAGTGTGACTTTACACATTATTTTTTTTTCAGGAAAATTTGAAAATGGCCGTATTTATAAGAAAAGGGTTGGTAGCCGCCCTTACAAAAATTATAGCCTTGAATCCCTTGAACGCGCTATGCAATTAGTAAGAAACGGATCTTCCTATAGAGAAGCTGCTGTCAAGTTTGGAATACCATGGAAAACCCTATGGAATAAGATAAAGGCCAAGCACACCAATAGTGTTGGCGGTCCCACACTTCTTACAGAGTTGGAAGACATTTTTTGATGTTCTCTTAGTGGCGGCGGAATTCGGTAGTCCGTTAACGGCATTTGATTTACTTTTAAGTTCCTGAAAAACTTTTGTTCTTTTAATATTTAAGTTGAAGTGTACCTGTTTTCCTAAGATTATTCTAGTTTTTTTTTTATTTCTATTATTTGGTGTTTATTTAGAGAGAATCTTGTTTATTTTTTTACCAAAATATATTATTTTTGTGCCTTGAAGGGTATTTTGTTTTATTTTCTACGTTAATGATGTTTCACATTCAAAAAAAAATCACAGGGTAGGTAGGTTACCTTTAAAACTTTTTTAAAACATAAATATTGTGTAAAGTCACCCTCAGAATGCACAAACATTGAAAAACCCAACACATTAAACCAGTGTGTAATTTCACACCATTGGAGGGAAACTTTACACACATTTTGAATTTTTAAAAAATATATCTGTCTGTACATTTTTCAAAAATATTATAACCTAATTCGTTAGGTAACATCCAAATGTAGTACATATATCAGCCACTTGAAAATGGCATCATAATTTAGGTGATTTTTTTTGTCAAATATCAAAAACTTGTTGCAAAGTAACACCATCCTACGGTACCTACTATTTTATTCCGTACTCTTGTTTGTGCTTCTTTATATATTTCTTTATCTCATGTCTTATTTAAAGTTAGATACTGTTGGTATTTCTTCCTTTTATCTGCTATGTCTTCCTCTATTTCTTGTAATCATTTAATTGTAATAAGCTATAAATAACGAAATTTAGATTTTTCCATTTTCATTTTTAATGGCAAATTTATAAGACAAAATTATTGTTTCAAAATGATTCTGTTATATTAGATTCAGTTCCAATTTATTTTCCCATTATGCAGACATTAGACTTCAATCATCAATGAATCCTAAAAATTATAGACATTCATCACTATACGATGTCTGAATCTCGAACACGATTTTAGGGATTTTTTTCTATTTTTTTCAACACTTAACATGGATAAATGAATCCAAACTATTTCTGAGCTGTAATTATTACAAAACCCCAATGCAGAAGCTGGAAGTGAAGTAGGTATACCTACATACCTATATGGGTTCAATAACTTGACACAAAATGAGAGCATGAAATAAATAATTTCCAAGAAATATTGATGCAGAACATCGAAGAAAATTACCTCCTAAAAGTACCTACCTACAAACAAGAAATTGAGGGTACCTAGATAAAAGTTTGTCCATAATTATCTGGGAATTGGCCGCACGCACAATCTTTTTTACTGACACACACTGTATATAATTGAACACGCTTACCAGAATTGAAATATTATGTAATAAATAAATATACAGCTAATTAATTACATACATTTGCACCCCCTACCCAGAGAAACGTTTGATGAATTGATTCGAAAGTAAAATAATTCAGAAGTTCTTGGTCGCCGGTTTCAGTATCGACCGGTACGTACTGTGCATAAGGTTATATTTTTGAACAAAGTAAGTACCTGATTTTTATTATGTTTTTTTATATGTATTTGTTTAAATTATAAACTTGAAATAGGATCGATAGGTATTTTCGAGTTTAACTGATAAAAATATAATTAATTTTTTTCTTGAATAGGAATAACAATTTTTTCGGAAAGTTTCTTTTATTTCTTGAGGAGACAGAAATAAATTGCAGATTTAGTAACAGAACAATTCAGCAAGTTCCTAAAAACTAAAAAATTAACCCAAAACAGTTTGGGTCAAACAAACTAGATGGGATTCAACAATAACTTTTATGAAAAATACTCAAGAGTTTTTTGTTTTGTCTTCCCATTAACTTCTATAGGTACAAAGAGTTTTTAATAGTGTTTTGCTATATTCAATTTTTGCAGCTGCAGTTTTTTTTGAATTTTTCATTTCAATTTTTGTTTTTTCCAACAGGGATTTCTAAAAACCACAAATTTTCTATGAGAGCGTCAAAAAGTAAGTTTAGCCCTGAGATACAAGAAAGTTGAGTTTGTTTTCCATCTGTGTAATGGCGATGGAAAACCTCTAAGGAAAGAATCTGTTCCTCTCGAAAAAGACGCAGAGAAGTTCCAGGCTAAATGTTACTAGCAAATTCTTCAAAAGCATGATTTTGTCTTGAGTTTTTTTTCTTTCCTTTTTTCTACTATTATGTATTGCCAAAATTTCCTATACAGAATTAATCATTAGTTGGTATAAAACTATTGTTATACAAAACTGACACATTTATGTGATTTAAAAAATATATATTCCTAGTAATCAAAGAGCAGTTTCATAATACATAAATTTATTTAATTAAATGTCGGACAAAACTTGTCCCAAATGATGCAATACTTTAAATGTCAATTGCCCATTGAATTGTACAGGCAAAGTGTGAAGTAAAATGTACCTACCTACTCTTATTATTTAATATTATAAGTTTTAGATACCCTTGCCTTGATTCTCACTTCTTGATAATTTAAATAATGACTTGCAAATATAATTGACACTACAATTAATACATTTTTTATTTAAGGACAAATTAAACAAGTATCGTGTCTTGGGAGCAATGCCGTACAGTTTTTTTTACAACCTTGGCCATTATTCTATTAAACTTCGATTTCCTTATTAAACAAAACCATTGAATGGTACCTATACATATTTCTTAACAGTAATAATATGTTATAATGAATTTTGCAACTTTGCGATTTATGCAGTTATTCAAAAAAAGGTGTTACATAGCCATAGCATAAATGAATAATTACAGAAATATAATTTGAATTCCGCATATTAATATATTTGGATTGTTATTGGTTGTAGGTAACAACAAATATGGTAAAATTAGTAGCTTTCGCCCTCGTCTCTTTGGCAGCTTCGGCATGGGGTTACTCGGCAGGTGCCCCGGAAGGAGTCTGCAACGATATGACCCCCAAACATCCCGTAGACCCGCAAAAATCAAAATTGCCTTACAAAATTGCCATTAGCAAAGCTGAAGTTAAAGCCGGTGAAGAAATTGAAATAAGTGTTAACGGAAAAGCTTACAAAGGTAGTCAAAATATTATTATTTTTTTAAATTTATTGTTAAATTTTTATTGTTATAGGATTGTTCCTTCAAGTTAGAGATGGAGACAAGGCTGTAGGAAGCTTCCAAATTGCAGGAAACGATAAATTATTCAAGGCTGTTAACTGTCATGGAAATAAAGCTGTACGCATTAAATTTGTACAATTTTATCCGATAATTAATTTTCTATGATTTCAGAGTGCCGTGACTCATAAAAATGCTGTCGACAAAAAAGACAAGGCCTTGGTATGGAAAGCGCCAGCTGCCGCTGGAAAATACACTTTATAGTAAGTCAATATTAATTCTGAATCCTATTGAATTTTTAATTGTAATTTTTTTTCGCAGCGCCACTGTAGCCGAAGACGGTGGTACTTTCTGGGCAGCCAAACCTAGTGGTACTATTACTGTAGTTTAATTATTTTTTTGTGTGAAAAAATCTTGTACATATAAAGTATTTGTGTGACTTGTCCAAATTTGATTTTAGAAATAGGTAAGACATTTTCCGGTAGAATCCTCTGTTGAAGATATTGAAGTTTTTTTAAATTTTGCAATAAAAATTCCTTGGAGAACTAAACGAAATTTTTAGTTTTTATATTTTCCGAATAAATCGGGCTCCAAGTATGAAGTTTGGGGGTCCCCAATTGTTAGGAGTTGAGCCACAAGAACTGTGACTTTTATCCCAAATATACCTACACTAGAATTAAAACTATATCTTTTGATTTAATAAAAAAAGGTTTCGTTTATTTGTGAAAATTTATAAGTTTTGGGAAGGACACTTTGTCAGTTATGAGAGGTAACTTTAGATGTTGTCAGAGTCAAGATGGAATTCTGAATGTCTTCTCGTCTTCTTTCCTGAAAGAAGGAAACGTCCTGGAACCTCCTTCGAAAGGGCGGGAGTTCCTCTAGTTATTCACTGAAAGTACCTTAACGCTATTTTACAGATGTTACTTATATTGGTGCTAAAATATTTAATGATTTGGGATTTTTTTGGGAAGTTTATACAATAATAAAAACTAAACCCTATTCGGGCACGTAAATAGTTATTGGACATCATTCCGACAATTTAACAGTTTATGAAAATAGAGGGATATAAAACAAGGGTCCGAAAGGTAAAGCCATATTGAGCCGACAAGGCATGGTCAGGCCTCTCTGCAAAATACATAGTAAATATAATAGAAAATTAGAGATATAATTAAATGTTCCTATAATCACTGTGTTATCTTATTGGTTCATAACACCTCCCCTCTTAATGAGAGATTTTATGTAATTTAAATGAAAAATCAAATGAAGTAAAATCTCTGATTAAGCTTGTATAAAATTTAAGTAGATAATTATAGTAAGTTATTTCTAAAGTAATATGATACAATTAAAAAATGGACTAATAGCTATATAACCTATAACTATATTTATGCTAAAAACAGTAAATGACATCAGGAAGAAAATGTTTATGAAAACTAAGTTTATTTGACTGCTCGTCTTGTTGGTGCATAGCCAATACTTTTCCGTTGAGGAAATTCTAATGAAACATTTTCCTCGTCCGAATCATCATCACCAGTTGTACTTCTTACTGCTCTATTTCTGTTTATATATCGAGCTGCATATTCATTATTTGGATAGGATGGCTGTACATTTTGATTGACTCTAATACACAAATTGGGAATGCCACAACAAGAATTTTTATTTTTTTGACAAATGCATTTCTTATAGAATTTATAACCTAAATAAAATAGTACAATGATTGCTAAAATATACGCCAGTATAGAAGCAGAAAATGTGTAGCGAGATGTAGCTTTGTTTTTGTGAATATCATCTGCTAATTTTTCTATATCGTCCAACTTATGACTAGCAATGTTAAGTTCGGGTATGTGTTTACTCAACGTTTTATAATGTTGGTTCAACACAATTTCCGAAAAATTTATCTGATGTTCTTTCACTTTTTCACAACACTCATCAATAATATCAAATGGCGGAACAATTTCACTGTACACTTCTGATTGATAGATATTGTCATGAGGCATTAATATTGTTGAAGAACTATAAGCCTTGCATTGTTTCGCAAGTGTGACGCTACCACAATTTTTTAAAGTAACATCCATTGGCTTATCATTATTGGTACAAGATATGGTTAAAGTTTCTGTATTAGGTACTGCAAATATCCAAGTGTTACTGGTTGACAATTGAATAAAAATGCCTCTCTTAGAAGTAACTATGCGTTTGTCGCAATTTTCGGGAATTTTATCAGAAGTAGCTTGCAATAGTCTAATCTCGCAATTGTCTACGAGATGTGCAAGAGATACTGGCTTATGTTGCTTACAAATAATTTTATTTCCTAGCAACTTAATGCAAGATATGTATTCCATATCTGAAAATTGTACAAATTGTTGTTTACTTTCGTCTATTGCAATATATTTTGAGGAAGGTTGAATTAAAATGAATTCATTCAATACTACTAGTTTGGGAAACGGTGATATTTTGTATAAATAAAATAATTGCGTCTCTACAAGAGGTGTGTTTATGATATATATAAGACGTTTATTTTCAAAGAAAACTTGTAACTCAATTATATTTAGCAAAATGTTTGCATTGGATGTGTCTAAAGGTATCGGGAATTCCAACCCATGGGGAAGAGATTCTAAAACTTGTCTTAATTCTTTTGTTAATTGGACAGGCGTCATGATAGCCGGATGCAATATTCCCTTTTTAGCAATAAGGATTGCGTTGGTGAGTGACATGATTTCTAGCTGTAACTGATTTAAAATCATATTCGTTATTGTAACATGGTCTTCTAAATTTGTTTTTAAGTTTAGAAACTTTACGTCTTTTTGGTTTTTATCCAATTCCTTCGCGATTTTTTCTATATTGCCTTTCAAGACGTTCTCATTGAAATCCAATGTGCCTATTGTATTGTTAAAGTTTATCAAGGTGGATTGCACTATTTTTGTTTGTTCTTTCAAAAGATTAATTACTGAGTTTTCATCTTTTGAGAATTCCGAAATTTTAGCGTCATAATATTTTGCATCGTCGTTATCTAAGATCCCGAATAAAACTTTTGTTGCTTTTCCTATTATGTCAAACCAACCTCTCTTATTTCTGGATACTATATCATGACCCACTAATTCGTGCAGAACTTGTAATTCTCTATTAATTTTGTTGAGATTATATTTAGTGAATTTCACAAAAGAATCACATATATAATAGTGATATTGCGCATTTTCGTGTCTGCATAAATTTAAGGTCATCGTATAAAAGTTATTTAAACTTAGAAATTTATCGCTTAGACTATCTATATTTACAAAAGTTATAATTTTCCATTTGTTGTTGTAAAGCCGCATTTCTCCCAATTTTTCGAAATGAATGCCCGGATTGTGGTCATAGTAGGTAACGTTATATTCAGATTTGGCCATCGCTAAATTGATAATATTAGCGAGTAGCATAACCCTGACGGCAAACCTGAAAAGAGGAGAATATCGTTAGCGAACTTTAGGTTTGTGCTTTCCTAAATATAGGTATATACATGTAAATGAAAAAGTGGAACTAGGTATATACATATTATATATAAATTTTTTTTTTTTTTTAGTCGTAAAAATGTTTCAATCTATTAGCGTGGACTGTCTGTTTTTTGTTTCCTTTCTGAATGACATAGTTCACGTCAGATAATTTTTCTACTATAGTATATGGCCCTATCCATAATGAGGTTAGCTTCTTACTTCTACCTCTACGGACAGACTCATCATAAAGCAATACTTTGTCACCAGTTGTAAAGTCTCTAGACAAGCTATTTTTGTCATAGTTGTTTTTTGATTTGTATTTACTGTCTAATAGATTTTCTCTAGCTATTTGTCTAGAATATTGCATTTTTTGTTTCAAGTTTGCTACAAAGTCCTCATATGTGTAAGAAGTCTTTGGGGATTGAGTAATTGACGTTGGTAAGGTAGGGCTATAGCCAAATAAAAGTTCAAAAGGCGCAAATTGTGTCGCTGTATGTGTGGACGTATTATAGGTAAATGTGGCGAAAGGAATCCAGTTATCCCAATCTTCCTGCGTATCAGATATGAAATGTCGTAAATACTCTTCTAGACTCCTATGAGACCTTTCTAATGCGCCATTCGATTCTGGGTGATAGCTAGTCGTCTGAATTTTTTTTATTTTTAGCATCTTGCACGTATTTTTGAAAAGTTCGCTTAGAAAGTTGGTTCCACGATCCGTAACTAGGATTTCCGGTATTCCATAATAACAAATTATATTTTTTACGAAGTGTTCTGCCACAGTCGCAGCTTCTTGATCTTTCATAGGAATGTTGAGGTTAAATTTTGTTAAATCATCTTGAAATGTGAGGATATATTTATTTCTCGATTCCGTTTCAGGTAAAGGGCCAACCACGTCCAGAAAGCACCTCTCAAAAGGTTTGGTTGCAGTAGTTGTGATGACCATTGGCATTTTAGTTTTACGGGACAGTTTATTTTTTTGGCAAAATTCGCATTTTTTTATATACCTTTTTAAGTCTTTTTTCATTCCTCTCCAGTTGTATAAGTTAGCAAGTTTTTTATAGGTACGAGATACTCCTTGATGACCTGCTATGGGAGAATTATGGAATTCTTCTAATATGGTATTTTTATCTGACTCTGAAGGGCTTATTAAGTTATTATTATATATGGTTATTTCAATGTCTAAGTTCTGAAAAAGGTATCTCAACATTGGATAAATGATATCCCATTTTATTAAAGGGTTATAGTGATATTTAATTAATGACAATTTAACTATTACGTATGAGATTTCTCAATTTAAGTAGACAATACCAGATATTTTCGTAATTAGCGTCGCTAAAAGTATTTTCATTATCTACAAGTAAAAACATATCAGGATCCTGGTAATGGTGTACCGAAATTACATTTAGTTCAGTGGCTTTATTAAATCCTTCCATGAATTTATTTGCCTGTTTGTTATTTTCTAAATCTCTAAACTTCTCTTTGTTAAAGTTTTTGGGTATGAACAATATTAATGGATCTGTGTCATTGGTCTGAAAAAGCGTAGTGTTTTTTTCTTTTATTTTAGAATTTAAAATTATATGAGTTTGGAGATAACTTTGAAATTCCGTGTAATCGGTTATTAGGCTTGTATTAATTGTATTAACAGTATTAACTATTCTGCTAAGCGCGTCGGCATTTGTATTCTTTTTTCCTGCTTTATAAATTACCTCAAAGTTATACTCTTCCAATTTTAGTCTAAAACGTGTCAGTCGGGAACCTGGATCTTTTATATTGAAAACGTAAAGTAAGGGTTTATGATCTGTCACAATTTTAAACTTTGTACCAAATACATATGGTCGAAAATGCTTTACTGCCCACACTATTGCTGCTAATTCTTTCTCAGTGGTGGAGTAATTTCGTTCAGCCTTATTTAAAGTTCGGCTGGCGAATGCTATCGGTCGATCACTATTAATCTTGCCCTGAGACAAAATGGCACCAATTGCATAATTACTAGCGTCGGTGGTGATAATGAATTCTTTGGAAAAATCTGGATACTGGAGTACAGGCGGAGAGATTATGCTTTTTTTCAAAGTTTCAAAAGAAATGCCGCATTCATTATTCCATAAAAACTTTTCATCTTTTTTTAATAGCTTGGTAAGTGGCTTAGCAATTTTTGCAAAGTCCTGAATA